GACTCAACCATTTAAAAAAAAAAAAATAAAGGTAATTAGAAAAATGGACACTGACAGCATATTTGATATGAAGGTATTCACATTAAATTTTTTAAGTGTGGTAATGGTATTGTGACTTTAAAAAAAAATGAGTCCTTTGCTTTGGAGATACCTATTGAAATGAGCTATCTGTGAACCGATGCCTGAGATTTAATTTAGAATAGGGTGGTGTAGGGGACCAAACAACTTGAGTTAGTGTCGAAGCTGAGCAATGGATAGGAGGTTTCATTATAAGGTTCTTTTTGCTTTTGCATATGCTTGAAATTTTCTACAATGAAAAGGATTTTTTTTGTTTTTGTTTGAAATAACCTGCTCCTAGGGACCGTGATAAACTCATCTACACTAAGATGCCACTAGCTGATAAGGATAAATAGCAGTTATCTGATTTCTTGGTGTATCTGCATTTTAACAGGAGAAAATAGACGTAAGACAGAGCAATGAATCAACAGTGGCAAGTCAGGAAGGGCCAAGGGACATGGAAGGAGGCAGCGGGCCGTGCGGGAAAAGGCCACTTGAACCAAGAACTCTGAATACAGTTCCAGTCTCAATGTTCTTTTTTCCATCTGACCTAAAAGGATTTAATAAAGATCAGGCCGATGAGCACAGCTGCATATTAAAAAGACGGTTTCTGGTGTTACTTTATTGAGGATACCTTCTAGGTTTTGCTAACCACCATGTAAAAATAGCTACTATCAGAGCCCTTGCCATATATCAATCAGGCTCTCTGCTAGGAACTTCACACATGTGATTAAATAGGATCTGTATTAACCCTTTTAGATCTTGTTGTCTCTATTTTACAGACAGTCAAACGTGACTTGTGTGAGGCCCCTCAGCCCGGGGTGAAGTCTGCGTCTTAATTACTTCATGGTCACTTTGTGCCTTGAGCAAAACTCTTCCTGGAGGTTGGTCATTGGATGATTCCCAGCTCTCACAGAATATGGACCACTTATCAAAGTTGAGCTAAATTATTAAGTCTTGCCGCATGCTCAAAAACATTAATTAGTATCTTAAATTATGAAACAGCTAACAAAGGATGCCAGATTAAAATAATAGAAGAATCCGTGATGGCCAACAAATGAAAGATTAATTAGGCTAACGAGGAATTATACTATGGATTGGTTATTACTTACGTGGTAGTAGGTGGGTGCCCTCAGGGTTTGGTCTATTTAGAGCAAGGGAGAAGAGGGGTGGGAGATGAAGCCGACTGGAAAGGTAGGCAAGGGAGTATAGCACCCCCTATAGGCCACGGGTGTCTTAGTCAGATTTTCTGGGAAGCAGAGGCTGAGACAAGTACCAACCTTTCCTGCTTAAGAGTACAAAAGGCTTATGGGAAGGAATACCTGTCAAAGGCAGGGGGGAAGAAGGCAGGGGCGGGGGAGCCATCAGACTGCAATGCAGACCCATAAAATTCAGCCAGCTCTGTGGGAGACTCTGCAGCAAAGACAGCCTCTTAGAGGAATCTAACATGAGATGAAAAGCTGGGCCCTTGTACCACTGCCTTGCTCAGAATTTGCCCAAAGGGTGTGACTTTGGCTCAGCCATGAGGTTTGAGCTTAATCTTGAAGGAGCTCACAGCAGGGAGGCTGTCAGCTAAGCACACTCCCGGCAGCTGGGTAGGAAGCCCTTTTTTGAAGAAGGTCTGAGCAGTCGTGGAAAACCACAGAAGAGTTCCAATCAGACCTGATGGGACTGCATCTATAGTTATATGAATATTTAGAAGTGCCTACTGAATCATTCCTATGACAAACATTTGAGTGTCTGTCATGCTCCAGGTACTTTTTAGGTGCTTGGGATACATGAGTGGACAAAACAAAGATGGTGCTCTAGTGGAGCTGATGTTCTAGCCAGAGGATGAGAGACAAACAGCAGGACACAATAAATACGTAAACTACCGAGTGTGCTGGACTCTTGCCCCAAAGTATCGCCTAGGAGTTTGCTAGAAACACTGGCCTCACTCCTGACCTACTGATTTCAAATCTGCATTTTAACAAGAACCCCTGGAGATGGTCCTACACACAGCACAATTGAGGCTTCACTCTCAACGTTAAGAAAATCTTTAGACACTAGTAAAGTTGGAGAGAGAACTATAGTATTAAAAAGGATAGTCCAAGTAGACATCACTGAAAAGGAAAATTGTGATGGAAAAAATGAAGGAGGTGAGGCCTTGAGCCAACCGTCTGGGCTGAGGTGCTCCCAGGCAGGGGGAGTAGATGGGGCCAAGGCTCTAAGGCAGAGGGTGCCTGCAGTGTTTGAGGAAAAGCAAGATGGCCAGTTTGGCTGGGGCGAAGGAGGCAAAGGTGAAGAGTAGGAAGAAATGAGTCAGATAACGGAAGGAGGGGTGGAACGGCCACATGCTGTTGAATCTTTGGGGACAGCAGGGACTCTGGCTTATACTCAGTCATATGGGATCAGGAGTCCAGCAGATAGCTGATAGGATGCATGTCTTAAAAGGATCACCTTGGATGTGGTATTCACAATGGACTACAAAGTGGATAGAAAGCAGGGAGGCTTCTGAGGAGGACGGGGAGGAAGGCGAATACTGCACTAATCCAGACAAGAGATATGGATGGTTCAGATGCGGCTGGTAGCGGGGAGGAGGGGAGCAGCAGTTCCATTGTGGATAACTTTTTAAGGTAGATCCGTATGACTTCTTGATGGATGAGATCTAGGATGTGAGAAAGAGGTTTTTTTGGCCTGAGAACTTGAAAGAGCAGAAGTGTATTCAACTGAGGAGAAGGCTGTGAGTGGAACAGGTTTTGGGGGGGGAAAGATCAAGGAAATCACCTTGACATGAGGAAGATGAATGTCTAACAGATATCCAAGAGATGATTAGGCAGTTTCATAAGAGTGTGGAGTTGAGGAAAGAGGTCTACTAAAGATGTAAACTTGGGAGCCTTCATCAGTCAATCTGCTGAACGTGGAAAAGTCATCTAAGAATAGGGCTAAATATCTGAACTGCTGTGCTGTGGGGCTGCTGGCTATTCCAAAAGACTTTAGATAATACAACTGATGTGGAAGTCACTGTGGCATGAATTGTTACTGTGACATCTCTCCTGAGCTGTGATCCCAGTTCAGGTGCATAAAATAGTACAAGCATTTTAAATACGGTTCTTAAAAATAATTCCCAAGTATAAATGCAAAACAAAAAGAAATTCAGAGAAACCAAAATAGAAAAACTCTGAAAATAAAAAAAGATGGTCATCTAAAAATCAACTACATACTTTTTAATTTATACTGGAGAATGGACGAAATTTATTGATGACTCTTCCCTCAAAAAAAGTTCTAATACATTCACTAGAAAATAAATATATTTTAATTTAAATCTAGTACAGAACGGACTTTATGCCGAGCATTGCAGCAGTTATTAATGGAAAGTGCTATTTCAGGCACGGAGTTAAATCTTTACCTATATTACTGCCTTATTTAATCCTCAATCCTGTAAGACTGTACCCATTTCACATATGACAGGACTGATATTAAGAAATTAAATATGTGAGCTCGCATGATCAAGAAGTACCCATGCAGAGACCCAGCTCCAAATCAAATGAGAAGTACCTGCATAATTCAAACATCACAATTTAAAAATGAAATCTGGGGCACCTGGGTGGCTCAGCTGGTTCAGTGTCTGACTTTGGCTCAGGTCATGATATCCCCCAGTTAGTGGGTCTGGGCCCCACATTGGGCTGTGTGCAGACAGCTCAGAGCCTGGAGCCTGCTTCGGATTCTGTATCTCTCTCTCCGCTCCTCGCCTGCTTGTGCTCTGTCTCTCTCTCAAAATAAACATTAAAAAAATTTTTTTTAATAAAATAAAAATGAAATCTGAAGAAGGCAGTAATACTATTTTATTTATTTTCAAATAAAAGTGTTTCTTTTAGAAAAGACTCAGTACTTCTATACATCTAGCTTTCTACAGGCAATAAATCCTTTGCAAAAGGTGGCTGGAATGTCATCTCCTTCCTCTTTAAAAAAAAAAAAAACAACCTAGCCCCACCCCCATGATTCTCATTGTAAGTATGACTTTTTTTGCTGATACTGATGAACCAATCAAAAAAAAATGAGCAAGTAATTTGTTATCAGTTATGTGTACATTCAAATTTTATCTGCAGCAATGATTAGGTAAAATAATGCACTGTCAATGACTTATTAAAAATTTATTTCATGTAATAAATTATATAATTCATTTTTATTTTTAAACAGTCTACACCAAAAATATTTTTTGAAACATCTTTTTCTCTTGGTAAAACGTACAGGGTAGCAGGCTGACATCAGCTTCACTTCCAGCAGGTAAAATCCCCTCACACTTACACAGTTAAACACAGCTTTTCTTCACATTTCTCTAAAAGTTCAAGTTGACACCACTTGATAAAAACAAGATAGCATTAACATTTCCAGATTTTGCCCAAGGCCTTAGACTGAACTGAATATTAGGTGGAATATTATAAGGATATACTCAGTAGCCCTGAGCTCATCACCTTATGTGTCTACACACCATATGGCTCCAAGGAGCAGGAAAGCGAGAAGAAAGGCACCGGAGGACACAGTGGGCACGTCTCAGACCTGTACACCAACGGTGGCCACAAGAGACGTATAATCAACACAATGTGACACACAAGGAAAAGTTGTCTACAGGAATGTTTAACTGCTAATGCCATATTCATGGTTTTTATCAAATTATTCAGAGGGTGTCAAACTTCTGAAATGACCGGACTTCTGTGTATACAAACTGGTTTATTTTTTAGCTGCAAAATAAAGTCGGCTTCATGAATGCAAAAACATAACAAAACCACTGAAGGGCTTGGGAGAAATTAGCAAATGGGAAGAGAAAACCCAAGCATAGTATGAATGATACTCATCAGAGTTTGCTGTTGTTGCTGTCAAACACTGGCTATTTTCCTCTATGAAAGAACACAAGAATTTGACTCTCATGATGAGCTACTGATACAAGATTAAAGTAAGACTGCTGGTTAAAAACATTTGCCTTTATTTAAGTTTTACTCACATCTATCATAGGTATATAGTCTAAAAATAAAATCACATCCAAGAGCTTAGGCCTCAGTGACAGCTGTTATGGGGTGCTGGGGAGAAATACCAGAAAAAACTTAATTTATATTTAAATTTACCATTGTGTATACCAAGTGCCTATTGGCTGAACAGAACTGTATTCAATAATTCACATTCTATAACTTCATTCAACTAATACAAAAAGCTAAACAGAAAGATTTATAGTTGAACACCTAGTTCCTAAGTCTGGTATCACATATCATTTCCTGATAGAGCGAGAATTCATCAACAGAGGATATAAGAGCCAAATTGAGAGCTGAATTTTAAAATACCTTTCCCTGCTGTGCGTATAAGTAACACATTGTGTAGTGACCTCAAGAATATTTTGTGTTATTCAATTTTCTTTCCTGGGAAGACCACCACAGTCCAGTGACTTTAAGAACCAAACTCCAAAACTCTACCTGAGAGCCTTAATAAGGGCAGCTGGATCATAAAGACAGGTCATCTTGGTCATGATTGGAAAATGTATCAGCCGACGGCCCCTCTGCCACAGTTCAAGGGTAACTGAGGCCAATTATGAGGCTTACCAAACGGTACTAGCAATTTAAAATAAATAATTATACGTATATACTTTTTTACACTTATATGTGGAAATGGGCTACAGTGAGTAAAAATGATGCTCAGCTGGGCGTGAAGGAAACCCATGACACCCCTTCAAAAACTCTTGTGAATTCCAGGACCTCAAGGTCAGAGTTAAACCAGCAGGAATAGAACTGTTATTCCAAAACCTCTGAAAAGAAAAGAACTGATAATTAAAACTACAGCTGATTTTACGCACCAGGAGTGAAATGTTACAACACATCTATCATTCACATGTGGGTTCATGTAATTTATCTTCAATTAGAATTATTATCTATTCAGCAGCTGAGGCCCAAGAAGTGCTGATCCACTGCAGACAAGAAAACATTTGCTGGTCTCTCGGCTCTGGCCTTCTCAGGCTAAATGATGAGCACACAATACAGATCCCTCGTTCTCTACAACGACCTTGGCTCATGTGTACAGTAAGCCACGCTGCCCCACCTAGATTGCAACATCTCCCCTCCTCTTGTGGACCCCAGAGGCTCTGCCGGGGCTCTTCAGCTTTACTGGTTCTACAATTCAGGCCCAAATCACCCCAGAAAACCCTCACACAACCTTTTAGTCTGGGACTTACTCCTCTGAAATGTATTATCGGACCTATAGCTAAAATATTGGAAGCCCAAAGATACAATAATTTACAAGTAACCTTTACAATATTTATAATTATTAAGTACTTCCAAGGCTGTGAAGTGAGTGTCGTAGTAGTGTCACGTACACACTGATGGGAGTGCTATCCGTCTGAGCTCGTGTTTACCAGTTTACACTCTACCAGATCAACAGAGAAAAAGACAACCCAGAAACAAAGGCAGCATCCTCGACTGCAGTGTTTTCAACAGCATGTTCAGGGGAAGGTCAGTAAGCATCTGACTGGAAATAGGGGCTCCGTCTTTGGATAAGGTCACATTCAAGCCAGTTTCTGAGCAAGTCTCTGAGCCTTTAATACGCCGACAGGCAGGTGTGCAAAGGCCCCCTGACCACCTGCCCCTGGAACACTTATCCCCGAGAGCACCTCCCAGGAATACTCCACTGGGCAGGTCCTGAGAAACACAGCCGCGCCATTGTGGTGTCCGCAGAAGCTTCACTAATCCCTCAGGCCTTGAGACCGTAGTTCTTAAAATTAAGCAACACGAGTAACTGTTATAGCCAGTAAGTCTGGAATATCAGACTTGGAAAGTGAGCATGTGGGCAGGGAGGGGAGAGCGCACCTGTTTATCCTCCTACGTAATTTTCATCACCCCAGCAAAAATATGTCCAAAAATACCCGGTTACCTACTCCTGACAATGGCTGTGCACAACACCGGAACAAAATAACCAATACACAAAGACTGCTTAAAACAAAAACAGTGGAATAGTTTCAGCTGCCCAAACGGAGAGGCGCACAAGTGCCATATAACCCCATGTTCACAACTGGCAACCCCGGTTATTGCCTAGGAGTCTCACCCTGTACGGGCGCCCGGGTGGCTCAGTCGCTTAAGCGTCTGGCTCTTGACCTTGGCTCAGATCATCATCTCAGTTTGTGGGTTCAAGCCCCTGTTGGGCTTTGCATTGACAGCTCAGAGCCAACTTGGGATTCTCTCTCCCTCTCTCTGCCCCTCCTCTACTCATGCTTTCTCTCTCTCTCAAAATAAATAAATACACTTTTTAAAAAAAGGAGTCTAACACTGTTTAATTTGGTAACATTTATAGAGCTTTCTTCTTTGAAGCACTGCTGAATAATTAAGTTGCTATGGCAAACTTCTTTACTTGTGGAGTTCCTTTACTTTTGAGTAGGCTTTCTCGACCTCAGTATTACTGAGATTCGGGGCTGGATAATTCTTTGTTTGGGGAAGCGGTCTTGTCTGCACTATGATGTTGATGGTATAACCCTGGCCTCGACCCCCAGATGTTAACTGCACTCATCAAGCTGTGACAACCAAAAATGTCCCCAGGTGTTGCTCAGACATAAGCAAATCATCCCCAGTAGAAAAACATTGCTACCAAGTGAAAACTAAAGCTTACGCCTTGACTCTGCTTCTCTGGGCAAAGTCCATTTCACAGGTACACCGTGACTTACACACATCAATATCTTGTAAATAGTAGTATTAGATCTTTCTATATTCTCTGTGACCAGAAACATAACTAATCTGTGAAGGGTAGAGAATGGTTAGAAGGAAGCAGTTTATACATTTCAAAAAGAATCAGAATAAATTTTACTGTCATGTTAGGAAGAATCACCTGAATCATAGGGGTTAACTGACAAATACTGTAACAATTTGGAAAATGTTAATTGTGTATCATCTGTTAAGGATCATAAGGACTGAGGCGTCTAAGAAGAAAAAACATAACAGTCATCAGTGGCTAGCTCAGATCACATTCTATTCCTCCACCAAACATTAGGCACAAAATTCTCAATTCAAAAACCTCAAGTCTTGTCTTTATAAACTGCTTATTCATACTGCAGCCTCAACACTTCTTTCAAATTATCAAAAAGAAACCTTTCACCTGTCATGAAGAATTCTGGTATGTGTCAAGAAGCACATTATCTAGTTTTAAAGCCATTTCTTCAATATCCACATCTTCAGTTCTGTCGTAATTGTCAACTCCAGCTACATTACTCTCTTTATTTTGTTCTTTCCTTACTGCCTTTAAACACTTGTCAAGTCTCTTTATGAACAAGTCCACATCCTGTGTCTTCATTCCAATGGCTGCTGCAGCATTCAGGTAAGCACAAGGGTAATTGTTTGTATGTGACATAAAGCCTTGGAAAGTGTAGCCACTCACCGTTTGCACAGACCCAAGAGGCACAACCCTGCAAAAGAAAAGATTCAGCAATTTAATATGCCTGGTGATAGTAACAGAGTATCACTTATAAACAAAAGATGTCTGTTACTAACCCTTGTAACTACTTATTAACAAGTTTAAGAACAGTCATAATCATGGCCTATGAAAACAAGATCATGGCAGCCTTAAAATAAAATTATACAATACATTGTTATTTTATATAGGACAGTACTGCCCAGAGATCACCATTTACTTATCTTCTTTAAAGAGCCATAACCTCTAGGAATTGCCAATAACCTTTGCACCTTCCTCAAGGAGAAAAAAGAAAAGTATTTCTGTTTTGGTACCAAATATGGAATCTGACTTCACATATATATACTTTAATGAAATACTGAAATTTTTAAGTCAAACCACTTTGGTTAATTGCCATGTATCACCTCAAAAAAATCAACAAACTAAAATCACAGCTATCTGATCTGTACTGTGCAATAGAGAGCTCTAAAGCAAAGGTCCAGAAAAAAACTACCTGCTTATTGTGGATGGTGGTCAGAAATCAGTAACATTCAGCAACGGCACGTGCATGTTTTAAGCTAGATCTCACTGGCATACTTGATATAAGCAGATTTCTACCAGTACTTTTTAAAAAAGTCAATTATCAACCTAAACAAAAAGACAAATAGTGGCAACACTAAAAGCAAGGCCAAGTAAACCATTTTAGATGCGTCAAAACTATGTTGTGTACAGACAGAGTTCATCAAGGTAAAAGCTGAATTAATCTACGATTTTTTTTTCCTTTAAAAAGTTGTCCTTTGATGTGAAATCTCTAATCTCTGGTAGTCAAGGGAGAAATTCTTTCATAGAAGCATGTAAAGAAGAGTACTTAGGGCAAGGTATTTCTTTTCAAGTCATTTTTTTCTGACCTCATCAAATATAAAATGAAAAATGAAATTCATCTTTAAGCCATGTATATATAAGAGCAAAAAGTACATTTTTCAAAGGTAGTACTTAGACAAGAATTGCATAACCTTTTTAGTTCAGGAAATGGGCTTTTCTTAAAAATGTTTTCATCTAAATTTAGTAATGAAGATGACTTATTTCTAATACCCTAATGTGACACCACTGAAGATTATCCAACAAAGGAAAATAAAGATAAAAATGTGTAGAGACAGGCAGTGTAACTATTTCTGTAGCTCTACGCAAACAGGTGAGACCTCGATCTTCCTGAGGCTGTTTCCGGCGGGGGCCTCTCGCAGGTGAGCTTTCACAGCACTACAAATGTTCCACCCCTCCATTCTTTCACTCATGACGGCACCTCAGACGTAGCTCAGCATATACACACGGGGGACTACGTTAAGGAAAGGGACTTTATCACAGGCAACTGGGAAAAGCCAAAGAAGCCCGGCCTCTTCAGACATACGCACCTGGCTCCAGAAACCTGTCTGGTAAACAGCATCGAGCCAAGCTGGGTGACAGCCCTGTCTTGGTGTTCACCTAGTGTCTTAAGTGTCACAGCTGAAAGAGAAAAAAGGATCCGGAGGTACCTTGGTTCACCAGCACAAGATCACTCAAAAAATAAGCACTTCATGATGGAGACCTAACTTATGTGCGTACGTGTGTGTGCGTGAAAATACACATAACATAAAATCTATCGTGGTAACCGTTTTTAGGTGTGCAGCTCAGTGGTATGAAACACACCCACACTGTCGTGTAGGCGTCACCACCATCCAGCCTCGTAACTTCCCATCTTGCAAGGCAGAAACGCCGTGTCTCCATCCTCCCCTCCCCACCGACCCCCAGCAACCACCACTCTATTTTCTGTCTCTAGGACTCTGACTAGTCTTGAGTTCCTCGTACAAAAGGAATCCTATATTTCTTATCTTCCTGTAACTGGCATGGAGCTACTACTTTTTATTCATTGTCAAGAGGCATGATTTCACTTTAATGCACTTAATAAACTATAGTAAGAACATGTTTGCATCCCAGACAAAAATTTGTTAATATAAATTAACATACTCAGAATCAGAACTGAAGAGTGAATTTTCCAATTAAATAGATGGAACAATGAATGATGTGATCGATACGGCCGTTTCTTCAAATTCAACCATGCTTTAAGAACTTATAAAATGAGAATGTGGGGTATTTTCAGCACATGTGTGAGACTATATAAGATCAACTTCTGCATATGTAAATGAGAACAATATTTCTGAGGCTAATGTGGGTAAACTATCTTCTCAGCACTACAACTAGTGACCACTTCCTGAGAACATGACTTACCAGGCTAGATGCTTTACAAATATAATCTCAACCATTCTTTAACAACTTTGCATGTGAGGGATCACTATCTCTATTTTATATAGATAGGGGAAAGGAGGGGAGAGGTTAGTACATAGCAGAATTGGGATTCAAACCATACCATATCATATTCTGTAATATAAACCAGCAAAGAACTAAATTGAGTGGGTGTTATATATTGGTAGCATATATAATTTATTATACATTGGTTTTCCATGGAAGCCAACTCCTGAAAAAGGCTTCAGTTACAAATGATTGTTTCCTTATTTTCCTCGGATACACATGAAATATGAAACATACTCTATAGATATATTCACAAAAGGGAGAATTATGAAGTTAAAAGCTAAATGCATAAAAGTCAACATTCATATTAACCTGTTTAGTAGCCTCTGTACTACATGACAAAAATATAGTCCTTTTACAAAGGAAATTATCATAAATACGAAGTTGTCCAACATAAAGACACTAGAAAAACATTAAATCACAGCATTAAAATCACAGCATTAAAAACAATATAGATTTAATTTCTAATATTAGTGTTTTGTTAAATGGTAAAAATTTTTTTAAAAAATTTTATAGAGTTCTTACTAGTGACTGAATTATTTTGGTTAGAAGCAGGAGTTAAAGTATTTTTTTCTGTATACTCTAATCTTGATATGGATTCTTTCCAGCCTATAGTTTTTAATCTCAGGAATACATTAAAGCATTTCTAAAGGCTAACTAAACTTTTTCAATTTACAAATTAATAACATAATGAATTTATAAATATCACTGTAACCAGAAAGAATTCATACTCTTTCTAGAAATACCAGGTCCTGCTGGGGATGGTTATGAAGCACTGATTTTTTTTTTTCTTAAGAAAAATATATTACCTAATGATATAGGATTGTGAGGTGTATGCAACAGTCTTTCATTGTAGGTTTCTGACAGCTTCTTTAGTTGGCTGGACAAATATGAAAACATTTCCTGCAAGAACAAAATGTTACGTTTATTTTTTTTTTAGATTTTATTTTTAAGTAATCTCCACACTCAAGAGGGGCTCAGAGTCACAACCTCAAGATCAAGAGTTGCACATTCTACCCACTGAGCCAGCCAGGTATCCCCAAAATGTTACACTTAAAGAAAATCAAATAAATGCTTACTGAAACACAACAGATTTAATACGACAAAATCTGTTTGGTGTGATGTCTGTGCTGTAAATTAGCTCATCGCTGTGCCCTGGGAGCCATTTCTTAACTCCAATACAATATAGTGAGCTTCAAAGCTGCCACAATGATCATAAACCATAGGATTTCGGTAAAGAAAGCAAAGGACCAGCATATTTCCTGCTTTGGGGCTATTATGGAGCTATCACAAATCCATCCTCTCTTCAGAACCTCCAGAGCTACCACTCTGGTCCAAGCAGTCATCAACGAGTTCCCTAGACCACAGCAGCAGATTCTAAATGATTTCTCTGTCAACTTTCCTGTCCCTCTACAATCAGAGGCCAGAGCAGTCTTTCATACGCATAAATCAGATCATGTCCTTCCCAATGATTCCCTTCTGTAAGAACTAAAAAACGAAACTCTTCACCTATAAGGCCCCAAATGATCTAGCCCAGCCAATGTGCCCCACTCAGCAACCGTCATTCCCGCATTTAGTATAGCCAACAGCTACGTCAGCCTTCTTTCCAACCATTGAGCATGCCAAGTTCATTCTAGTAGGAGACCTTCAGCCTGCTTCCCCCAGACACAAGACAGTGCTTCTCCCAGAACTTCTGATAAGCCCTCCCTTATTTGCCTACTAAAGTCCTCCCAGTCTCCCTCCTACAACCACTACCTGTTTTGGTTTCTTCACTATACTTATTGCAATCTGAAATTACCTCATTTATTAGCTTAAATGAATACTTCCCGTGACCATCTACTCGAATGGGAAAACTTGAAAGCAGGGACTCTGTGTTTTTCACTACTGTTTTCCAAACACCAAGAAAACTGTGCCTTACTTTTAGTATGTAAGTAACAGAGGAAAAAGTAGTTTAAAATGTATTTCCTTTAAATTGCACAAACTCAAAATTAACAACTCCCTCAACTCAAAAGAATATAGCAACTGAAAATAAAAAATTATATCCTTGGTCCTGTTCTGGGAAATAATGTATAGCTAATAGTAGAAAATAAAATATTTTATAAGTACAGTTTCACATGCACATGTATGTAAGCAGTTTATAAATGTAAAGTATGTAAGAGTTTAATAAAATAAATAAATCTTCAATTGGCAATGGTCTAACCTAAAATTATATTCTTCTAGTAAACCCTTTATAAAGTGTTGAAATAAAAATCTGACCAAATAAGAAGCTCGTTTGCATTGACGAGCTTTGTGGCTCCTCCATCCACAGTCAAAACACAGAAACTCTACAGATACCCTAAAGGGCCAAGGCCAACAAATGATACTTCTCCTACTTAGAAGGCCACAAAAACTCCTTGAGTTTTCTCTAAGGTAAGGGCTGGATAGTCTGATCCTACTTAATCCATCTTTTGCTAAGTAAAAATTAAGAAGAGGAAAAGTCCTACCAAGTTTATAAATTATTAATAAGTCCACTTGAGGCCACAAACATTTTTATGCTTGTCGACACAGTATATTTTGTACTCTGACCTGAAACATTTTAAACTAGTAGTCATTCTTAAATTTTTAGGCTATTTTATAAGATCAATTCTCTCAGCATATTAGAATTGTGAAATCTTAGATCACTAAAATAAGCTGACTTTTTTAAATTAGAAAAGTTAACATCCACACTGGTCATATCTAATGAAGCTACAAGCAAATGTTACTGTTAGATGTAATAAATCTTTCTCTTTCATGAAAAAATAGCGTAGGGGCGCCTGGGTAGCTCAGTCAGTTAAGCGTCCAACTTCGGCTCACGTCATGATCTCGCAGTCTGTGGGTCGGAGCCCCACACTGGGCTCTGTGCTGACAGCTCAGAGCCTGGAGCCTGCTTCAGATTCTGGGTCTCCCTCCCTCTCTGTCCCTCCCCCACTCATGCTCTGTCTCTCTCTGTCTCAAAAATAAACACTAAAAAAATAGTGTAGAGAAATAATTAAGGGAGCAAATGTTACCACCATTTGCAAACGGTAAAGAGCTGTTTAGGCAACTTTTCTTAGACATATAAAGACATCCTGGTCCCTCCTTCTTAAACTACTGTTCTGATATTCACTTCAGAAGACGAAACAGTAAGAGAATCAAATGGAATGCAAAGATCAAGAGTTTTTCTGACAACTGGAACAATTCCTAATCTTTTAATACTATGCCAGTATTAACGAACAGTAGAATTTCTGTATTTCATTTATATATTTTCACCTGCTATAAAGTAACTAGGTCACTAATTTAAATGCTCAATATTATTTTAAAAAAGAAAAAAGCAGTCACATTTTAATTTATTAAATTTCCATCGTCTATATTATACACCAAAGTCTTAATCTACATCTGTCTAACTCTCTTAGTCTCAAATTCAACCTCTCAGAAGCACAAACAAATCTGATAGCTAGAAATACCTTTCATGGACTCCTACACTTTCCACCCTAAGAGTCACAGCAAAAATACTTATTTCAGTGGTGAGGCCGAATGTACAATATTATTCTGTCTAATATGGCTACCCCAATAAGCACCAGTGTGGTCACACTTATAAACTATGAAGCCTGATGAGTAATTAAAATGTGCTTATTTGTACTTAGCTATTTCCAAAAAAAGAGGAAATGTTTCCCTAGTAACACCCCTAGAGGGTGCTTTTAAACTTACTGATGCATACATGGCTATTAAAAAACTGGGATTCTCCTAATACTCAATTTCTAATACTTTAACAAATCAGTTTTAACCAGTTCTATCAGTTACCAATACCATTAGAATTCAGTCTTACCTACTACAGCTACCATCTTTAGACTACAAACATAATGGTAAGGTAACTAAATCTTACATATAACTAGTATGGGAGTAATTAGGCAAAAAAGAGTCAAGTTCACATCCATCTGCAAATGCTTTGTGTAAAGGGTTATGATAGGTAATCCAAGAAGCAAAGAAGCTCAAATATCTTAACGCACAATATACTGAATCCTACAATATTTGTCAGGTTAAGGCCCTCAATGCTCTCCCGTTAATATCATTACATTTAAAAAATATCGTTTAGGAGACTGTACCACTATTTCCTACACTACTACTTAGCTAAGCAGTTTTTTCCTGCTATATTAAAGGTACTACAAAACCCGCACTATTTTCTTGCCACAGTTAAATCTATAACTGACATTTATGATAAAATACTTCTGTAATGGGAGAAATTTATAAGCACCCAAAGCAAATGTATATAGAAAGATCTTACTTAAAAGAAATGAAATATTATTGATTTTCTATGTCTTTTGTGCTGTATTTAACTTAATTTTAAAGGACTCTTCACAAGAGATAAACTGAACTGCATACCTGAATGCTAATGTCAGCTATATTTCTAGAATAAAAATACAAAACTTTACACCATAGTTCAAGATGTTAATGGAAGGGAAGCTGAGTTATATTAAGCATTATCTTTCACATGGCCTTTTGCAAATTGATTTGCAGCCGTAAAGCCCAACGTTTAGCCTATCCCTCCCCATGACCCCCAAATGTGCATAATTCACTCAGTTTTAAGGGAAAATGTCTTATGTCCTCATGTTTTTTGAAACATACTGTTTTGTGTTATAAGATGAAAACAGAGCTTCAGAAATTATTATAATATGCCTTACAAAGTAGGTAATAGATCAAAAAGGAAACGTAACAAGTGGTCTAATACGTCTGCGGTACTGTGAAAGGACAGACGACAAATGGCAGGCACAGACCTAGCACCGAACGCAACCCGCTGCTCTGGCCGTGGCCAGCGGACGGGACCTGGCCACACTCCCCAGACCCTGCACCCCAGGCTAACGCCCTGCTTTCAAACCCTTTCAAACCCTTCCGTGAAGGCCCCATAATCAGGCCTGCCATCTGATGCTCTGGTTGAAATTCAACTACTCCATTTCTAGGGCTGCAAATCTACTCATGTGTCCAAACTCAGCTTTGTTAGAGGACAGTGCCTGGCGCTGTATGTCTGATGTTCTTTTAGAACTTAGCTCGTCTTCCAAGCCCAGCTGGCCAGTGCCAGCCGCTGGAGCAGCCATTCCGCTGTCACTCCTCGTCCACCCTGGTCCCACTCAGCAGATACTTGCAACGACGAATGATTAGGTGCGTGCCCTGTTCAGCAATGCACTCTTCTAGAAGGAAAGCTAAGCAGAATGATGGCCTTCTCTGGAAACCAACAGAAGTGAGGAGAAATTTCTAAGACTGATCCTTGTTTTTGAGGAAAGAAACCCATAGAAATGATGTCTTAAATTTTAACCCCTTTCTTAAAGGCCTCTTCAGTTAAATTCATGGCCATCTCTCCCCTCGGTGAAGCAGATGTGTTGATCAGGAACGGGCTAAGGGCAGAGGTTCAATTCATACACAGAGTGCCTCTCTCTCTGATCCTTTCACCCTTCAAAAAAGAAAGCTTGAGAAGGAATGGCTTCAAGCTGAGTTCTTGTCTGCTTCTACTGTGAAAAGATAAAGCACTTTCTGAAGAGATATACTAGATGAAATAACCTCTAAAAATATCATTGTGGTGAATAAGGGCACAGAATAAAAAAAAAATCCTAAGTTTTCTTTTAATACTCCTTTTTTAGTACATAATAACACCGCTAATATAGAAAGGAGCTCTCAGTGATGGTATATAAATAGCTCTGGCTGAAGCAAAATAACTTTGCCTCAGCTTCTCCAGAGCTGAACCGATAAACTATCACGATTAAATTTCCACAGTTCAAAAGCAAGTCCGTTTAAACAAAAGAGGCCCTTACTTCTGCAACAAATCCAATAAAAAAACAATATTTATGCTACATATATGCAATTATGGTTTACGGCGGACATCCACATTTTTCAGTGAAAAGCTCTGCCTGTTGAAT